TGATAATAGTGGATGGAGGTGGCTACTACAACCATGTGTTTCATTGTCCATTCACTTGTCGACCACCCGGACACGTTTCCCAGTATTTCCTGACATATCTTCGAGTCATTGGTGCTTCTAACGTCCACTTATAACCGCTTGTCCTACTTTATCTCACTTTAAAGTGGCTGTCCTTATCCACTTTACCAATTCCTCTCAGTAACTTTTCTGTGACCATCATGTCGTTCCTTGTTGAACCAAACCACACATTAGAAAGTAAAGGGACGACGACGTTTCGGTCCATACTAGACCATTGTCAAGTCGAAACGTCGTCGTCCCTTCACTTTCTAGTGTGTGGTTCGGTCAACTTATTTTTAGCCACGTTATTGTGACTTCTCATCTGCATGTCATCTGCCCGAAACGCTTTGCGTAATAGTGGTTTTAGGCATTGTATGTACTAGCTCTTATCTATAAAGCCAACAAACTTTGTAAAAATCTCTTTATGTATGTACCTTTGCCTAAATAAAAATTATTATTATTATTATATTATTATTATTCCTGTTTCTTCTCTCTCCAGGTTGCGATGTCTGGTTCCCTTGACGTGTCCTTGTAGCTTAGGCCTCTTAGCTCTGGTACTAAATTTTGGTTTTATGCTCCACAAAATGTGGATTTACAGGCAGAGACCTGATTTAGGTTTCTAAATCATAGTATAATTAATGTAGTTATATATAGTATAATTAATGTAGTTATACATAGTATAATTAACTAAGCATTAGTGGTGATGGTAATGGTGGTTTTAATAGCATTAGCTGTGGTGGTTGTGGTGGTAGTGGTGGTGGTAGTGGTGGTGGTTGTGGTGGTAGTGGTGGTGGTGGTAGTGGTTGTGGTGGTAGTGGTGGTGGTTGTGGTGGTAGTGGTGGTGGTTGTGGTGGTAGTGGTTGTGGTGGTGGTGGTTGTGGTGGTGGTGGTGGTGGTAGTAGTGGTGGTAGTGGTTGTGGTAGTGGTGGTGGTTGTGGTGGTGGTGGTTGTGGTGGTAGTGCTGGTGGTAGTGGTGGTGGTTGTGGTGGTGGTGGTGGTGGTGGTTGTGGTGGTAGTGGTTGTGGTGGTGGTGGTTGTGGTGGTAGTGGTTGTGGTAGTGGTGGTGGTTGTGGTGGTGGTGGTGGTAGTGGTGGTAGTGGTGGTTGTGGTGGTGGTGGTAGTGGTGTTGGTTGTGGTGGTGGTGGTGGTAGTGGTGGTTGTGGTGGTTGTGGTGGTGGTTGTGGTGGTGGTGGTTGTGGTAGTGGTGGTGGTTGTGGTTGTGGTGGTAGTGGTGGTGGTAGTGGTGGTTGTGGTGGTTGTGGTGGTGGTTGTGGTGGTGGTGGTTGTGGTAGTGGTGGTGGTTGTGGTGGTGGTGGTAGTGGTGTTGGTTGTGGTGGTGGTAGTGGTAGTGGTGGTTGTGGTGGTTGTGGTGGTGGTTGTGGTGGTGGTGGTTGTGGTAGTGGTGGTGGTTGTGGTTGTGGTGGTAGTGGTGGTGGTGGTATTGGTGGTGGTAGTGGTGGTAGTGGTGGTGGTGGTGGTGGTGGTTGTGGTAGTGGTGGTGGTAGTGGTAGTGGTGGTGGTGGTAGTGGTGGTTGTGGCACTTACCTAATAGTGACTACGAGTAATGAGGGTCTTTAGCCCCATATACTAGTTTTGTTGTAATTAAATATTATATTTAATTACAATTATAGTTACAATTAATTATACCTGGCATTCAGAACCTTCGTCAGATTATTATTTTACTTGTGGATAGAGGTGGCTTCCCCAACTTCTTCTTCTTTTAGTGCATTTTACTTTTTGACCACACGTACAGGGGGACGAAGGGAAGGGAACTATCGGGAGAGGCGCCAAGCCATCACGACTATATGGTACTGGGAAGGGGTCAGGATAAGGATTTGGGATGGGACGGAGGAAAGGGAATGGTGCCCAACCACTTGGATGGTCGGGGATTGAACGCCGACCTGTATGAAGCGAGACCGTCGCTCTACCGTCCAGCCCAAGTGGTTGGACATAATGGAAGACGAGTATTTCCTTATATATCTGCGTTTCCGCCTTCTATTTATGTCCTCTTGTTCTCCTTCCATTCAATTTAAAATATTTGTCCTTGTCCCCCAGTTGTATTTCCCCTCATTATCTTGTATGTTGCGATCATGTCCCCCCTCTTATTTTCTTCTGTCTGTAGGGTTTTGAGGTATAGTTTCTTTAGCCTATCCTCTTAGCTTAACCCACTTAATTCTGTTCTTGTAAATCTCTGTATCTTTTAAATTTCCGTTTTATGCTTCACACGGTGTGGATTCCATGCCAGTGCTGCATAATCCGGTACTGGTCTGACGAATGTTGTGAGGATGGCCGCGAAGGAGTCCTGATGTAGATTTGTTAACGATATTCTAATGTTTGCCAGCGTCACATATGCTGCTGATGTTACCTGGTTGATACCTGATACCTGGTTGATGGGGTTCTGGGAGTTCTTCTACTCCCAAGCCCGGCCCGAGGCCAGGCTCGACTTGTGAGAGTTTGGTCCACCAGGCTGTTGCTTGGAGCGGCCCGCAGGCCCACATACCCACCACAGCCCGGTTGGTCCGGCACTCCTTGGAGGAATGTTACCCTCTGTGTGTGTGCTTTTAGTGTGATGGAATTTTATCCACTCCCAAATATATTTTCCCTCCAAATTCTTATAGTTGCCTTCCATTTAAGGTGTAGATACATCCTGGTTTTCTTTCTCCCTTTTCTATTTTCATTGCCTTACACTTGTTGAGATTTAACTCTAGCAACCATTCGTTTGCCCACTCGCTTCCTCATCAGCTTTCTGTCGTTGTTGTGGTTTAAGATTCGCTACCTGGAACAACAAGTTCCAAGTAGCACGGGCTATGGTGAACCCGTATTGGACAGCTTTCTGTCGTCTGCAAACATTTTCATGTACAAGCTCACTCCCTTAGCGTAGGTCGTGCACGTAAATTAGGGAGAATAATGGTCGTAGTTCAGAGCCTTGGGGGACGCCACTTGCTGCATTCCTCCATTTCGAAACCTCATCTCTGACTATGACTCTTTGTTTTCTGCCCATCAGGTATTCCCTCGCTGAGCTGTTTTCCCCCAGTTATTCCACTCTGCTTCTCCATTTTCACTGTTCATGACGAACAGTGTCAAATGTGTTATGACAAGATAGGAGAGTCTACCCAGCATTGTGTCTTGTCATAGTTTAGTAACCCTGTCATAAAGGTCATTGAAGCTCTCTTGGTGATGGTGGTAGGTGTGGTTGGTAGTGTTGATGGTGGTGCTGGTTGGTGGTAGTGGTGATGGTGGTAGGTGTGGTTGGTAGTGTTGATGGTGGTGCTGGTTGGTGGTAGTGGTGATGGTGGTGCTGGTTGGTGGTAGTGTTGATGGTGGTAGTGGTGATGGTGGTAGGTGTGGTTGGTAGTGTTGATGGTGGTGCTGGTTGGTGGTAGTGGTGATGGTGGTAGGTGTGGTTGGTAGTGTTGATGGTGGTGCTGGGTTGGTGGTAGTGGTGATGGTGGTAGGTGTGGTTGGTAGTGTTGATGGTGGTGCTGGTTGGTGGTAGTGGTGATGGTGGTAGGTGTGGTTGGTAGTGTTGATGGTGGTGCTGGGTGGTGGTAGTGTGATGGTGGTGCTGGTTGGTGGTATGGTGGTGCTGGTTGGTGGTAGTGGTGATGGTGGTGCTGGTTGGTGGTAGTGGTGATGGTGGTAGGTGTGGTTGGTAGTGTTGATGGTGGTGCTGGATTGGTGGTAGTGTTGATGGTGGTGCTGGGTTGGTGGTAGTGTTGATGGTGGTGCTGGTTGGTGGTAGTGTTGATGGTGGTAGGTGTGGTTGGTAGTGTTGATGGTGGTGCTGGGTTGGTGGTAGTGTTGATGGTGGTGCTGGTTGGTGGTAGTGTTGATGGTGGTGCTGGTTGGTGGTAGTGGTGATGGTGGTAGGTGTGGTTGGTAGTGTTGATGGTGGTGCTGGGTTGGTGGTAGTGTTGATGGTGGTGCTGGTTGGTGGTAGTGGTGATGGTGGTAGGTGTGGTTGGTAGTGTTGATGGTGGTGCTGGTTGGTGGTAGTGGTATATTGGTGAGTAGACGACGATGATGATGAAGATGGTGACGGAACGAGGCAATTAGAGTTAGTGGTGGTGGTGAAGGGGGCACTGTGAGAGGTCGGTGGTGAGTGATGGGAATACTTTGTGGTTTTGTTATGGATTCTTGGAGATCTGTTGTGCTACTGTTGCACAACAGAAGGACGTTGTGCAACTGGACGTTTCGGTCCGTCCTGGACCGAAACGTCCAGTCAAGTCGATTGTGAGTCCGGTCTCACAATCGACTTGAGAATGGTCCAGGACGGACCGAAACGTCGTCGTCCCTTCACCTTCTAGTGTGTGGTCTGGTCAACATGATACATGTTTTTTTTTCATTTAATCTCGCTTTCTTTCACCTCATCACAGAGACCAGTCGTTTGTAGGGGATGATGAGCGAGCTGTTTACAGTCCTCACTCACACTCTCTCTCTCTCTCTCTCTCTCTCTGTCTCTCTCTGTCTCTCTCTGTCTCTCTCTCTCTCACACACACTTTCTCTCACTTTTTCTCAATTCTGTTACTCTGGCGTTTACAGTCCTCTCTCTCTCTCTCTCTCTCAATTCTCTTACTCTGGCAGTAGTGTATATTAGAGAACGTCGCAATAACGTAACTGGAACGTCTAGCTCAGGGTGAAGGACAGACCCAAGCGTAGTGACTCTCAATACGAGTCATATGTGTGTGAGTTGTGTGTCATCATGATCCTTAAGATACTCAGAAGAGAGGCACAAGGGAAGACAGTGCGATGCACAGACTCAAGAACTGTACCACAAAGTCTTACAGCAAACAAACAAACGAATAAGAACCAGAAAATAGAGGGACACTCGGTGAAATTAAAGAGAGAACCGTGAAAATATTAACTGATGAAAGATGTGTTATTAATTGACACTGGATTCTCTCTCTTGTTTATTTTTGTTGCTGAAGGAGAGGGTATAGACCATGTTGAAAAACCTTATTCCCAAGACCCTTCCACGTGTTCGTGATATACTCAGGCAACAGCATATCGTGTCTCAGCAACAGCATATCGTGTCTCAGCAACAGCATATCGTGTCTCAGCAACAGCATATCGTGTCTCGGCAACAGCATATCGTGTCTCAGCAACAGCATATCGTGTCTCAGCAACAGCATATCGTGTCTCAGCAACAGCATATCGTGTCTCAGCAACAGCATATCGTGTCTCAGCAACAGCATATCGTGTCTCAGCAACAGCATATCGTGTCTCAGCAACAGCATATCGTGTCTCAGCAACAGCATATCGTGTCTCAGCAACAGCATATCGTGTCTCAGCAACAGCATATCGTGTCTCGGCTACAGCATATCGTGTCTCAGCAACAGCATATCGTGTCTCAGCAACAGCATATCGTGTCTCAGCAACAGCATATCGTGTCTAGGTAACCAAAGACAGAAGGTCAAACAATGGAGTAAGCACGCTGGTTCAATGCAATTACTGTAAACAAATTCAACCTGGTGTAATAATCCAAGACTAGTATAAGGATATTCACTCCACCTGCGTATATACCTATTAATTCAGGTTAATGGCCAATTCGGAGTAACTTGAGGCGTATTGTTATATCACACCTATTACAGAATGCATTCACAGTCAAGCTTACAGCTTTATCGCACCTATTACAGAATGCATTCATAATCTAGCTTTCAGTTACATCATATCTATTACAGTGCATTCACAGTCAAATTTATTGTTACATCATACTAAGTTATTTCCTAACATTAAGCTAGATAGTCGTAACAACTTAGTGCTTTCTCCTGACCTTACCTTATACTATTAATGTATAGACCATTTATGAATAAAGTAATTGATCGAGTGATATTCATATTCAACCTCATAGTTGGGTTAGAATAGGTTGGGCTGGATTAGGTGGGGTTGGGTTAGGTTGGGCCTGGGTTGGTTAGATTAGGTGATGTTAGGCTAAGATAGGTTGGGTTAGGTTAGGATATGCTGGTATATGTTAGATTATGTTGGGTTAAATTAGGATATGTTGGGTTAAGTTATATTAGGTTAGATTTGTCAATAGAGTAACAATGACTTAGGTTAGGCTGGGTTATATTAGATAAAGCTAGTTTGGGTTAGATTAGATTAAGTTTGGGTTAGAATAGATTAAGTTTGGGTTAGATTAGATTAAGTTTGGGTTAGAATAGATTAAGTTTGGGTTAGATTAGATTAAGTTTGGGTTAGATTAGCTTAAGTTTGGGTTAGATTAGCTTAAGTTTGGGTAAGATTAAATTAAGTTTGGGTTAGATTAGATTAAGTTTGGATTAGATTAGCTTAAGTTTGAGTTAGATTAAATTAAGTTTGGGTAAAATTAGATTAAGTTTGGGTTAGATTAAATTAAGTTTGGGTTAGATTAGAATAAGTTTGGGTTAGATTAAATTAAATTTGGGTTAGATTAGATTAAGTTTGGGTTAGATCACATTAAGTTTGGGTTAGATCAGATTAAGCTAGGTTAGGACAGATCACATTAAGTTAGGTTTATTCATAACATAGCTATGACCGAGGGTTGTATATACCTCTCTCAGGTCTTATCAAACCCACAAAATAACGTTCCCGATAATTCCCTTGTTACAACTTGTAATAAAGTTGTTTCATCTTCTTATAACGTTTTCATGACGTATTAGAACGTTCTTACAACTTGCTATATATTGGTTGTTACAATTGCTAGGCGTTAAAAGTTGTTCAGACGTTGTATTAACAACGTCTGAACTAATATAAACAAATGCACGAACCCAAACCACCCACCTAACCCAGCGATGCATAGAAACAAAAATATTTGTGACCCGTTACACAGTATTTTGTAATCTGTATGTTGGGATCTATGCCGCAAAAAAATAAGGGAGAAAAGACCCGTTATTTGAACAGACAGGAAGACCCGTTAGTTGATCAGACAGGAAGACCCGTTAGATGATCAGACAGGAAGACCCGTTAGTTGATCAGACAGGAAGACCCATTAGTTGATCAGACAGGAAGACCCATTAGTTGATCAGACAGGAAGACCCATTAGTTGATCAGACAGGAAGACCCATTAGTTGATCAGACAGGAAGACCCGTTAGTTGAGCAGACAGGAAGACCCGTTAGTTGATCAGACAGGACCCGTTAGTTTCAGACAGGAAGACCCATTTGATCAGACAGGAAGACCCATTAGTTGATCAGACAGGAAGACCCATTAGTTGATCAGACAGGAAGACCCATTAGTTGATCAGACAGGAAGACCCATTAGTTGATCAGACAGGAAGACCCATTAGTTGATCAGACAGGAAGACCCGTTAGTTGATCAGACAGGAAGACCCATTAGTTGATCAGACAGGCAGACCCGTTAGTTGATCAGACAGGAAGACCCGCTAACGGTGGTACAATGGAAGGACCAATGCAGCGTTACGTCTGATAACACACAACAGTAACGTCGAGTTCTCTTTCCGTTGTAACAATGAATAACATTGTAGGCACGTAAAAAAACTTGGAACGACGTAAGAGACCGAACATTAAAGAACACAATATCAATATCTTGAGGTTATCTTGAGCTATTACGTCCAGAAATATATAACCAGAAATATAATATATAACATCCAGAATATAAAAAATATAACGTCCAGAATATAAAAAATATAACGTCCAGAATATAAAAAATATAACGTCCTAAAAAATAGAACGTCCAGAATATAAAAAATAGAACGTCCAGAATATAAAAAATATAACGTCCAGAATATAAAAATATAACGGCCAGAATATAAAAAATATAACGTCCAGAAATATAAAACTAAGAACGGAAAAGAACGTTTTACCAGGGGCCAAAAAAACGTTTTAACAAGAAAAAAAACGTTTTGATTAGACAAAAAAACGTTTAGTAGGGGCAAAATAATGTTGAAGCAGGCAATATATAGCATTCAAGCAGAGCAAAAGAACGTTCAAGCGGACCAAAAAAAAACATTCAAGCAGGGGCAAAAAAATTTTAAAATTAAAAAAAAAAAAAACAGGAGTAAAAAAAAAAAAAACATTGCAAGAACGTTGTAAGAACATAAAAAAAAAGTTCTAACAATGCTAAACGCCGTTTCAACGACGATTAAAAAAACGAACGTAAACGAACATTTTAACGAAAAAAAAAAAATGTTGCTGTTAGGTTATCTGAATGTCGGGAAAATTAATTATTTCGCTGTTCCGTCGCAGAGAATAATGGATAAAAAAGGCAACACCTATTAGTAATAGGAAGCATCACGGAACACCACAAACTCCAGCACTTGTCAGTGCTCTAATGGCGCCCCCCAATTTGTCCAGACGGGAACCATATATTTGGCGGGAATTTGACAGAAATCCGTCAGGTGTTGAATATTCGGGCGTCCACACAGGCAAAAATAATGGCACCGCCGCTGCTAAATTGGCATCACGATTGCTATTAGGTTCTCAGCATGACCATCAACACGCATCAACGTTAATGTCGGGTGGTAATGAGTTGGATATCATGCTTCCTGTTTTGGTCCGAGAGTGAGACAGAGACTAACAGTGATGATACACTGTTATCTCGTACCCACCGTGAAGGTACACTGTTATCTCGTACCCACCGGGAAGATACACTCTGCTATCTCGTACCCACCGTGAAGGTATAGTCTGCTATCTCATACCCACCGTGAAGGTATAGTCTGCTATCTCGTACCCACCGTGAAGGTATAGTCTGCAATCTCGTACCCGCCGTGAAGGTATAGTCTGCAATCTCGTACCCACCGTGAAGGTACACCATGCTATCTACCCACCGTGAAGGTACACCCTGCTATCTACCCACCGTGAAGGTACACCCTGCTATCTACCCACCGTGAAGGTACACCCTGCTATCTACCCACCGTGCAGGTACACCCTGCTATCTACCCACCGTGCAGGTACACCCTGCTATCTACCCTCCGTGCAGGTACACCCTGCTATCTATCCTCTGTGCAGGTACACCCTGCTATCTACCCTCCGTGCAGGTTCACCCTGCTATCTACCCACCGTGCAGGTACACCCTGCTATCTACCCACCGTGCAGGTACACCCTGCTATCTACCCACCGTGCAGGTACACCCTGCTATCTACCCACCTTTAAGGTACACCCTGCTATCTACCCACCTTTAAGGTACACCCTGCTATCTACCCACCGTGCAGGTACACCCTGCTATCTACCCACCGTGCAGGTACACCCTGCTATCTACCCACCGTGCAGGTACACCCTGCTATCTACCCACCTTTAAGGTACACCCTGCTATCTACCCACCGTGCAGGTACACCCTGCTATCTACCCACCGTGCAGGTACACCCTGCTATCTACCCACCTTTAAGGTACACCCTGCTATCTACCCACCTTTAAGGTACACCCTGCTATCTACCCACCGTGCAGGTACACCCTGCTATCTACCTAACTTTTATGGTATACCCTGCTATCTACCCACCCTAAAGATACACCTTGCCATCTCGTACCCACCGTGACTCCTCTTGCCTGTGACTATCTCAGCCCACTGTCTCCTACACAGACATAGTAGTATTGCACGGTTACCTTGAGGAGCTTCCGGGGCTTAGTGTCCCCGCGGCCCGGTCGTCGACCAGGCCTCCGGTCTGGCCGTTGGTGGATGGAAGTTGGAATTATTTTATTTCACACATTCCTCACCCCATCCTGTAGGCCGTTATAAGTTATCTTGAGGTTATCTTGAGATGATTTCGGGGCTTTAGTGTCCCCGCGGCCCGGTCCTCGACCAGGCCTCCACCCCCAGGAAGCAGCCCGTGACAGCTGACTAACTCCCAGGTACCTATTTGCTGCTAGGTAACAGGGGCATTCAGGGTGAAAGAAACTTTTGCCCATTTGTTTCTGCCTCGTGCGGGAATCGAACCCGCGCCACAGAATTACGAGTCCTGCGCGCTATCCACCAGGCTACGAGGCCCCCTGGGGATGTTACAGAGTCACCTAACGGGTTCAGGAACCCGTTATTTGTTAAAATTTTGTTTCAACCAGTTGGTGAACCAGTTACATACAGGTTTTTTTGTTTGGTCTTGTTGGGACCGGAGTGCACGATAGACTAGTGGGTTGCAAGGCGAGGCATTTCAGGGCTTCGCCCCTCGTTTATAGAGCACTCTGCATGAAAATCGCATTACTGCAATCTTACTGCGTTCCAGAAACATTGTATTTAGATCCCACATAAGCAGAAAGTAAGAATGTATACTACCCCTTTTCCCCGAGAGAAAAAAATGGATGATGTGTACGAAAAGGTGCAAGATAAGTTTATATAAATGTATAAGTATAAGGTATAGTATAGGCAGTATATTATATAAATGTATAAGGTATAGTATAGGCAGTATATTATATAAATGTATAAGGTATAGTATAGGCAGTATAAGAATATATACTGCCCCTTTTCCCGAGAGA